AAGTTAGGCAGGCATAACTTCAAAACAATTTTCGTCCAAAATCTAGAAACCTTAACGTAAATTGCTTATAAAATAGTTAATTGATCCGCTGATTGAAGAGACTACAACTTTGAAGTCTATAAATCTACAAATTTCTAGGGCGTTTGCAAGCCATACGCATTCCATCCATGCGGTAAGCACTCGAATCAGACTTATTACGGTGAATGTCCGAAAAAGTCCTACTCGACGCCAAAGTGCACTCAACGGTGTCAGCGCGGTTATTTTGTTCCCTACAATCAAGACAAAATATATGGTAAATCTCGTACGATTAAAAACAACAACAGCATAACATCTTTTATTTCATGATGGACAATATTTTAGCAAAAAATTTCTATTGGATAGAAGCAAACGAAACAGCTATCCAAAAAGAAATCATGACAAATGGACCAGTACAGTCAGCATTCGATACCTATACGGATTTTCGCAACTACACCGGAGGCGTTTACAAAGTTGGTGCCTCTTTTTGGCTGTGTTTGCAATTGCTGTGATGCCATTTCTTTTCTTTGTTTCTTTTTAAAGTGTAATAGTGCAATCAAACCTTGTCATAAAATAGTTCTTCTTGATTCTTCCCTGTTTTAGCACATAGCTGCACCACGCAGCGGAGGTCATGCCATCAAAATCATTGGGTGGGGAGTAACGAAAAACGGAACGAAGTACTGGACCATTGCTAATTCCTGGAACGTCGACTGGGGAGAAAAAGATAAGCTTGCTCAATTTTTGTTTTGGTTTTTTGCTTTGACGCAAAGTTTTGAATGCTTTTCTTAGACGATTGAAATCGCATAGAAGCTAGCGAACCTTTTGTCTTAAATCATCACTTCGCTCGAGAAATTTCTGACAATAAGGATCAATTTTGTTACTTATTCTGATAAATGACAATCAGGAAAAATCTTTTTTGTTCAGGTTTCTTCCGTATGATCAGAGGTGAGAACAATTGTAGAATTGAATCATTGGCAAAAGCTGGAATGATGGACGTCTAAAGCCCACGATATCTTGAACTAA